TGGATAGTACTGGAGTGATGTTGTAGCAGCAATGATCCAGGAAAAATGTGTGAAGCAATTTTTTTAACCTTTTATTAGGCTAACTACATTGTTGGGAGGGAAATAGGTTTTGAATCTAAGTACCCTAACTCAGATCTCAAAAAATTCTTGTATCTTAAAAGGTAGTGAGGCATCAAGAACTGTTCCCCTAGAATTTCTAGCACTGGATGAATGGGCAATCGGTTTGAATGTTGCTATTCAGGTATGTGGCTCTACTTTGGAGATGCTCAAAGACTGGTCTGGCAAGTGCGGGTGTCTCCCCCCCACCATACACTTTGCAGTGTAGATATTATTAGTACTTCAGAGGGGGGCACCTCAGAATTCAGCCTTATCTTTGACTGAGTGGCAGAATGACTTCCTTTCCACAACTGGATCCTTGGTTTCAACAACCCCTATACACTACTCCAGCCCTTTTACTCATGAAAGGTGACTATGGTGAACATGTAAACCTTGCTGATGAAGTCAACACCACAAATCAAATAAGAAACATGCCTATTAATATTTCTCAGGTGTCTAGTATTTTTAAAATAAAGTATGTTTTATGAAAGCAAGAAAAGCATGTTACCTTTTCATGTTACCATTATTGTGAGGCTGCCGGATAATATCTACCATTTTACCTAGGTAAATTTCAATTGGTTGCATTTTATCCCTTTGGCAATACTGGTGTTCTAGAAAAAAGGGTCACAGATTGATAACAGACTATCCCAGCTGAAAACAGGACAATTGTGGCACAGAGCAAAAATACAGAGAACCTCAAAGGAAAGGATGATGCATCTCCTCCAGTTCTTTAATTGCTTTGCCATAGCTTCCTCAGTCAAAGAAAGGACTTTAACTTAACATTTTTCAGCTTTCAGTGATATAAGTTATAATTTGATTGCTTTGTAAAATCTATCTATTTTGGTTCAGCAATTTTTTGGCAAATAAAATTCACATGACTTTCCAACCTCTCTTCTAGATTCTCCTTGAATTTGGGGTTTTTAAAAGCCCAGAAAGTCAACATAAATTTGGGGAAGGCCAGTGACTTAGGTAGTTAAATCCAGCAAAAAGTCAGCAAGTTTCTTCAGTTTTACTATGACATTAAGAAGGTGGTGTAATTTTTAGTAATGAAGGTCTATTAATGGATCATGAGTTCAGTCAAAAGTCTTTACAATATTCATCTATTTGCTGTTTTTAGAATTTGGGGATAGCAAAAGATTTGGTCAAAAATGGTTCAAATTCAGAAACCAAGAGATAAATAATTTTATAATGATAATATTGTGAGATTATACATTTAATAAACATAGTAAATATATAGTTATAGTAAATGTAACCTATAATATGTTACACAATATAGCAATGATTTTTCATAATATAGCTGTAAATGTTGTAAATACAAAGGAAAGTGTGGATCTTATTATACTACTCTTGCAACATATTGTAAATATATTATACCCAAATACTATACTTCATTAAATTAGATTAAAGGTGAGAGACTGCATATTCCCCAGTACAGACTTCTAAATGCAATAAAATAAGTACAAGACTCATTTAGCTCTCTACCCACACTCCACTCATCAGTTTCCCATCTCAGCCTCAGCTATTTCCTATCACTCTAAGTCCAAACCTTCCCCCTTGTTTTGATGGACACTAAAATGGACACCCCTGGATTGTTGCCAATGTGTTTTAACTATAATATAATAAGTATTATAATACTTGAATACTATCCTACTTGGAATTGAAGAAAACATACATTTATGATTATATATGTATGTAATGCTACAACTTTATAATCCATTGAATAATTAACTGTTATACTAATTTAGGATTTTGAATAATAAATTATATTTTATGTTATGGGAACACATGGTACTTTTCTTTTTTTAAATCTGCACGATCTTCCTTTCAGTGCTGCTCTCTTTCCAGAGAACATTTTGTTCTGGGTATCTTCTACAGCTGGACAAACTATACATAAGGAAAAATTTACTTAGGCATTTCAGCTCTTTTTTCTGTTGACGAACAATCCCCAAAAGGATCTTGCTTAATCAGAACTTGTTACTGACAACTGTTTGAATCATTTGTGCAAACAAAACTATATATATTATCATGCAGTTGAACACTACTATGTTCTAAACATTTGTGTGTCATGAAAGTTGCATATGAATGTTTCCATTGCCTAAATGAATGGCAAAAGAGTAGAAACATACCAAGTCAGATTCCACAGTTATGAAAAAAACAAGCTGGCAAATATGTTTTCCCACATTTTGGCCGGCTGTAGTGCTTTTTACCAGATAACTACATCAACAAAATGATCCACAGCCTAGTATCCCTTGAAACATATCTCTGAAAATGTCTCTAACACTATGTCTTCACTAACAAAGGCACTAATTTAAAGAATTTTCCTCTAATAATCAAAATTTAAATCTTTAAAAGCAATATTTTATTGCACTTATTAAAATTATTTATACTTCTGCTGCTGCAAAATGTCATTTTTTTAACTGAAAGCAACTCTGCTCAGAAAACTCATTTCTTTTGCAAGGCCAAAATTGCAGGACTTTGACCTCCATTTTACACTTCACTGATATTAGAAAGAAAAATCAATGTGATCAATTTACAGGCTCCTGGATGAATATTTATTGAGTTTAAAGGAACTATTTTGAAAAAGAGGGAGCACATAAAACTGATGCAAACATACTGCTTTGCTTGGTTTATTCAAAAAAGTGTAGAAACAACTCTCTAAGAGCCAGATTCTTTCTCCTGGAAAGAAATCCTGCCTCCATTGTAGTCAATGGCAAAACTCCAATTGGCTTCTAATGGAGCCACGATTTCAGTCACAGTGAATAGCTGTATGTTGTATAAGAATCTGTGAATTTTCGAGCAATTGTAATGGCCATCATATTTTTTCATATTCATATCTATTTTAGTTCTCTGCTTTCCTTTATTATTCTGTCACTCAGGCACTTTTTATTTTGGAGAACAGATGAGATAATTTCTACAGAGCCTGCTGCCCTCAATATCTGACAAGTAGAAGAACAGTTAGCTTATTCTTGTGGGATTAAACACATCACCTTTCCAATATGGTTTGAAATGTTTAATAGGTGATGGAGGATCTGAAGGTATAATACCGAAAAATATATTGAAAATGGAGTTTCCACCAAAACTCTTGGGCATTTTTAGGAAAACAAAAGCAATGAATTCATTAGCTCACCCTATTTTCTACAGAACCAGTAAGACTTCTAGACTTGCATATTGCTTTTGTTTCATGTAAAATCTATAAACACACAGAAAAGGTAGTTAAATTGGAAATTAAAATTTATGCCTATCGACTTTGTGCCCTTTTCAGAGAAAGAAAGGGCAATTCCAAAACCTCAGATGTTGGCAATGTAAGAAATATTGAGTATTAAGCCCCCTACCAGGCCTCTCACAGGGTATCAGTGATACAACAACAAGTAAAATGCAAAACCAGTAGATAAAGTTGACTGTTATTTTTTTTGCTTACCGCCATCAAAACTACGCCCCATGGGGATCTCTCTGTCCTGCCAATATCTCTACATTGAACACAGTTCCAAACAATAACTCCAACTCCTGGACACCCATGGACCATCACAGTGCTTGGTGAAGCATCATGGACTCAGGGAAGAAATCCAGCCAGTTGGCAGAGGTCACATCAAACAAAAAATAAACATGAGGGAAAAAAAGTGCTACTGGGATCTTCCTTTGGGCTGGAGTCAAAGGAGAAAGACTTAAAGTTGTGATGTAACATAGGAACTTTCTCTTTAACCCTTAATTCACTGTTTTTCTAAAGTTGGTTGCTTTGCCTTTTTGCTATAAACACTATTGCACTTATAAAGGGGAACCTTATTTCCACCGAGCAATTAGCCAGCTACCCAATTGTTGGGAAGGCCATCCCTCGTTCTCTTTCTCCCTTTCCTACTTGAATCCTGAACCAACTATGATCTTAAGCAGAGACTGCCGTGATCTCACTATTATTATTATTACTTGCACATTCTTCTGTGAAGCCAGATATAAAGTCTAATAAAGTATTAGTTTAAATAATGTTCTTGAACTCAGTACTGCCCAGTCCAGTGATACAAATTTTATGTAGACCGTGCTCCTAGATTTTTTTTTTCAGTATGTGAAAGCATTAATGAAAATTTAAATTTTAAAGGCATGCAGTATTGGGGGAAGAGGGATATATTTTAGGGCCCAGTTGATTAAATTACTTGAAATTTGCATCACAGCTTTGGCTCTGATACTCCCTAAACACCTGCTTTAGACTACTTTATGGACAGGCAGTTTGCAGTCTTGAAAATTCATTTTTAACCAGACATGCTGATGCAATCATTACGACTCACTTTTTCACACCATAATCTACATTGGATGCATTCTGTCTTTTGAGGACTCCTTTAAGGTTGTGCATGATTTGCTTAAAGGCTCTTACATATGTGTTAGAATAGGTGAAGGATCACTCTCAGGCAGTGACTGCAAATTAAGCAAGAGGTCTTTTTTGTAATCTTTCTGCAGAAACTCTAACTGAAGTATCTCTAATACTTCGTGCAACCTGGCAGATTATTTTTTTTCCCATTAGTCTCTGTTTTTAGTGGAAGGGCAATGTATCTTTTGCATAAAAAAAAATTCTAAAGAAATGACCCTGATGTAGTTTGCAAGTTCAATAAAAATGCCAGTGATCTTCTACCATTTTCAGGCATACATGAGTTTATAGGCTTTTGAGAATAGATAATGACAAAGCATATTCATTCAACTATAGCAGATGGACAATAGCATGAAACAGACTAGTGTCACCCAAGGTCACTTCTGCCTTTTAAGGTATCAATACTTTTGAGGGATCGATAGAAAAATAATTACAGAACTAAATTCACACAGATCAGCTATAGTGAGATTCTGCTATTTTCACACCTGCATACTTAGTCCACACTGGTAAAAGATTATTATAAACTGAGCCTAATGTATTAGTTAATACTTACAGCCACTGCTTCCAGGATTTGTTTAACAGCATCTGCAGCATCTCGCTCACTGTAATATCCTTTTTCTACAATCCTACAAAGAAACCAGGAGAAGCTGCTCAGACTCAGTGAATTAAGGTATACATGCAATGTAGATAGATGTTTCATAAAAAATTAACCAAAAAGTAAATCAATTTTGAAAATATCTGGGCAACTGTGATGCTCCCTGTAGAATAAAACATCCAGTTTCAAATTATTAAAGCTGGATTTCCCTGCTCTACATTATCTGTGATTCCTAGTTAAGATAAAAATATCTGTTTAAAATACCAGTTTGGTGCTGAAGAAATGGAATGATAGTGACTAGAGAAAAGACTGACTAATTATAAAAAGCTCAAATGTAATATATTTGCATGTTAAAGAATAATAAAATTAAGGCAATTAGGGCTACTCAAATCAGCTAGGCAATATTTTGAACCCACTTTCCCGTGTTTCAGTCATTCATTTCAAGATGGTATGGCACAGTTTTTCATTGTTCCATTAACAGCTCACCCTCGCTGCCAAGAAGAATGTGCACTGGGACCTTCTGGAAGAATATAAATTAAACATATAAAACAGGCTGTGTTTACATGAGACATTTAATGTTCAGCAGATTAATTAGTTGCGCAATAAACATAGTGTGTGCCCCTAGTAGCCTGAAGTAAATGAATTAACTCTGCAGCAGGATAGTATTTGTAAATACAAGTACTATCCTGCTGCAGAGCTTTTTACTTTGCAGCAGTGCACCTGTAGATACTGCCCTGGCTGTCCGGGGCATGAAGGCCCCAGCCAGCTAGCCCTGCTCTGAAGCACCCTTGTGCCCCAGCCCATCCCTCTGCACCACATTGAGCCAGGTGGAGCAGCCCTGCATTGGCAGGCTGATCCCCCTGGCCCACTGCCAGCCGGGGTCTGCTCTGACCTAGCTCAATGTGCAATGGTCCCAGGCACACATTCAAACAGAATGCCTGGGAGCAATAAGCTTCAGAATTTATTCATGAGCATTAACTGCACGTGTAAAAGAACCCACATAAACACAGTTGACAAAAACATTAAATGCCAGTTTACAAGTATATCATCTGTTTGTTTAATAAATGTACTTCAAATTAAAATTTCAATCAAAAGTACAGAGTTCATATAAAACACATATTAATATAAAGAATACAATCATATATAAACAGTATGCCAAAGAAAAAAATAGGATTATGACACTTAACCCTTATTATAGAAACATAGAAAACTAGGGTTGGAAGGGACCTCAGGAGGTCATCTAGTCCAACCCCCTGCTCAAAGCAGGACCATCCCCAATGATCATTGGCAGCAAGGGCACACTGCTGGCTCATATTCAGCATATTATCTACTGTAACACTCAGGTTTTTTTCTGCAGAACTGCTACCTAGCAAGTCAGCCCCCAGCCTGTACTGGTGCATGGGATTGTTGTGTCCTAAGTGCAGGACTTTGCACTTGTCCTTGTTGAACCACATGAGATTTCTTTTGGCTCAATCCTCCAATTTGTCTAGGTCACACTGAATCCTAGTCCTACCCTCCAGCTTATCTACTACTCCCCCAAGTTTGGGTGTCATCTGCAAACTTGCTGAGGGTGCACTCTATGCCATCTTCCAGGTCATTGATGAAGACATTGAACAAAACTGGCCCCAGGAGCAACCCCTGGGGCACTCCACTTGATACCAGCTGCCAACTAGACATTGAGCCATTGATTACTACTCTCTAAGCCCGATGCTCCAGGCAGTTTTCTATCCACCTTACAGTCCATTCATTCAGCCCGTACTTACTTAGCTTGCTTGGGACAATGTTGTGGGAGACAGTATCAAAAGACTTCCTAAAATCAAGGTACAACACATCCACTGGTCTTCCTGCATCCACAGAGCCAGTCATTTCATCATAGAGGCAATCAGGTTGGTTAGGCATGACTTGCCCCTGGTGAATCCATGCAGATTATTCCTAATTACCTTCTTTTCCTCCTCCAAGTGCTTAGAAATGGTTCCTTGAGGATCTTCTCCATGATTTTTCCAGGCACTGAAGTGAGGCTGATTGGTCTGTAGTTCCCTGGATCCTCTTTTTTCCCTTTCTTAAATATGGGCACTATGTTTGCCCTTTTCCAATCATTTGGGACCTCTCCTGATAGTCATGAGTTTTCAAAGATGATGGTCAATAGCTCTACAGTCACATCAGCCAACTCCCTAAGCACCCTCGGGTGCAACCCATCTGGCCCCATGGATTTGTATATGTCCAGCTTTTCTAAGTAGTCCCTAACCTGTTCTTTCACCATCGAGGGCTGCTCACCTCCTCCCCAAACTGTGCTGATGCAGTAGTCTGGGAGCTGACCTTGCCTGTGAAGACTGAGGCAAAAAAGGCATTGAGAACTTCAGCCTTTTCTGTGTCCTCTGGCAGAAAGTTTCCTTCTCCATTCAGTAACAGACCCACACTTTCCCTGATCCTCCTCTTCCCACTGACATCCTTGTAGAAACCCTTCCTGTTATCCTTCACATTCCTTGCTAGCTGCAACTCCAACTGTGTTTTGGCCTTCCTGATTCATCCATGCATGCCCTAGCAATGCTCTTATGTTCTTCCCTAATTATTTGTCCAAGTTTCCACTTCTTATAACCTTCCTTCTTGTGATTAAGTTTACTGAAGCATTCCCTGCTAAGCCAAGCTGGTCTTCTGCTGTACTTGCTAGTCTTCCTATACCTTAGGATGGTTTATTCCTGCACTCTCAGCAAGGCTTCTTTAAAGTACAGCCAGCTCTCCTGGACTCCTCTCCCCATCAGACTGGCCTCCTAGAGGATCCTGCCCATGGGTTTCCTGAGTGAGCTGAAGTCTGCTTTTCTGAAGTCTGGGGTCCTTACTCTGCTGCTCTCTGTCCTTCCTTTCCTCAGGATCCTGAACACAATCATCTTGTGGTCACTGATGCCCAAGTTGCCATCCACTACTACTTTTTCCACCAATTCATCCCTGTTTGTGAGCAGCAGGTCAAGAAGAACATGGCCACTAGTTGGCCACTCCAGCATTTGCACTAGGAAGTTGTCCCCAGTAATCTCCAACAACTTCCTGGATTACCTGTGCCCTGCTGTATTGCCCTCCCAGCAGATATTAGGGTGACTGAAGTCCCCCATGAGAACCCAGGCCTGTGATCGGGAAACATCCACTAGCTGTTTGAAGAAAGCCTCATCTACCACTACCTCTTGGTCTGGTGGTCTATAGCAGACCAACACCATGACATCACCCTTGTTGCTCTCCCCTCTGACCCTAACCCAAAGACTCTCAATAGGCCTATCTTCAGCTTCATACTGGAGATCTGAGCGATCATGTGGCTCTTTTACCTAAAGTGCAACTCCTCCTCCTTGTCTCCTCTGCCTGTCCTTCCTGAACAGCTTGAACCCATACATGAGAGTGCTCCAGTCATGCGAGCTATTAGGGCTGTGAGAAGCTTCAGTTGCTGATTCAGTTCGTTGGAGATTCGGCCTGATTCGGTGGCCAAATCTCAAAATCTGAATCAAATCACGAGACTTTAATGTCTCCGAATCTAATCAGAACCCTCCACATCGATTCAGGGAGATTCGGAAAGATTTGATGATTTGGACATAGACACAGCTTTAAATGTTTTTTCTACATATCTCAGGGTACCAGGTGGCTCATGAATGCTGAGATGCTGGGTCAGATGGAGTGCCCCACACGAGTGCAGGGGGGACCACTTCTGGTCCACTTCCAGGTCTGCTGGGGAGCATGCTGGGGGGTCCCCCTGTGCCCTCCTGGCTCAGCAACTGGTGCCTCCTGGATCTGGGGGGGCATGCAGGGTGGCCCCGTGGCTGATCGTGTGCTTAGCGGCGAACCTGGAAGTGGATTGGTACTAAATTGTGGGGTGAAGTGCACACTCCAGAGGGTAGGGAATGATTGCAGGCAGACCTGGACAGGTTAGAAAAGTGGGCAGTATACAATAGTACACAATAGGATGCAGTACAACAAGGAAAAGTGCAGAGTGCTACACCTAGGATGCAAAAATATGCAGCACACCTACTGGCTGGGAAGGGACCTCAGCAGCACAGAAGCAGAAAGGGATCTTAGAGTCATAGTGGATTCCAAGATGAACATGAGTCATCAATGTGATGAAATCATCAGCAAAGCTAACTGCACTTTATCATACATCAGCAGATGCATGACAAATAGAACCAAGGAGGTAATACTTCCCCTCTATGCGGCACTGGTCAGACTGCAGTTGGAGTACTGCATTCCGTTCGGGTGCCATACTTCAAGAAGGATGTTAATAGACTCGAGAGGGTCCGGAGGAAGGCCACTCATGTGGTTAGGGGCTTATAGGACAAGCCCTATGAGGAGAGACTGAGGGACCTGGACCTCTTCAGCCTCTGCAAGAGAAGGCTGACAGGTGATCTTGTGGCCACCTACAAATTCATTAGGGGGATGTAGCAAAGGATCAGAGATGCTCTGTTCACCAGGCTGCCTCTTGGGGTAACAAGAAACAATGGTCACAAACTGACAGACAGCAGATTTAGGGTAGATATCAGGAAAAGCTTCATGGTAAGGGTGGCCAAAATTTGGAACAGGCTTCCAAGGGAGGTGGTCCTCTCCCCTACCTTGGAGGTCTTTAAGAGAAGGCTAGATAGGCATCTGGTTGTGGTCATCTGACCCCAGAACCCTTTCCTGCTTAGGCAAGGGTCGGACTTGATAATCTGTTGAGGTCCCTTTCGACCCTAGTATCTATGAATCTATGACTGTGTAGTTTTGCTAAGAGGTTAGACATTGGATTTGTATAGGATAGTTTGATACGAATAATCCTACGGTGGGCAGGGGGATGGACTAGATGACCTCTAGAGGTTCCTTCCATCCCTACTTCTTTATGATTCTATGAAAAAGCCCAGTATTATGAACTCTTCCCAATTAATCACGTCAGTATGACTGGACCTTCCACATTAATGAACAGGTGAGTGAACACTGGCTCTGTTTTGAATACTGTTGGTCTTTAGTTGCAGTTCATTAGTTTTACTATGTACATGACAAGACACAGAGTAACATGTAGGAAGGCAA